AGCCACACAGCCTCTCCCGAAACCACCTAGTCTTTCCTGAAACCACCCGGCGCCTCCTTTCCTAAATTCATACACACTTCCGTGAAACCACACAGCCTCGCTCAGCCTTTTCTGAAACCACCCAGCACCTCCTGAAACCACACAGCCTTTCCTGAAACCGTCCAGTCTTTCCTGAAACCACCAATCACTCTTTCATGAACCTTCCCAGCCTTTCCTGCAGCCACAGACCTCTAAACCAACCGACCCTAAACCAACCCTAAACCAACCCTATTCCGACCCTAAACCAACCCTAAACCAACCCTAAACCAACCCTAAACCAACCCCAAACCAACCCTAAACCAACCCTAAACCGACCCTCAACTAAACCAATCTAAACCAACCCCCAAACCGACCCTAAACCAACCCTAAACCGACCCTAAACCAACCCTAAACCGACCCTAAACAAACCCTAAACCAACCCTGAACCAACCCTAAACCAACCCTAAACCAACCCTAAACCCACCCTAAACCGACCCTAAACCAACCCTAAACCAACCCTGAACCAACCCTAAACCAACCCTAAACCGACCCTAAACCGACCCTAAACCGACCCTAAACAAATCCTAAACCAACCCAAACCAACCCTCGCACACCGCTAAAACCACCCTAAACGGACCCTAAACCGACCCTAAACCAACCCTAAACCAACCCTAAACCAACCCTAAAACCAAACCTCTCCTGAAACCACTTCCTGAAACAACCACCCAGCCTGAAGCCACACAGCTTCTCCTGAAACCACCTAGTCTTTCCTGAAACCACCCGGCACCTCCTTTCCTAAATTCATACACACTTCCGTGAAACCACACAGCCTCGCTCAGCCTTTTCTGAAACCACCCAGCACCTCCTGAAACCACACAGCCTTTCCTGAAACCGTCCAGTCTTTCCTGAAACCACCAAACACTCTTTCATGAACCGCCCAAGCCTTTCCTATAAACCAACCCTAAACCGACCGCAAACAAACCGACCCTAAACCAACCCTAAAACCACCCTAAACGGACCCTAAACGGACCCTAAACCAACCCTAAACCAACCCTAAAGGGAGACGGAGGGAGACGGAGGGAGACGGAGGGAGACGGAGGGAGACAGAGAGACACAGAGAGAGACAGAGAGAGAGAGAGAGAGACACAGAGAGACACAGAGAGACACAGAGAGACACAGAGAGACACAGAGAGACACAGAGAGACACAGAGAGACACAGAGAGACACAGAGAGACACAGAGAGACACAGAGAGACACAGAGAGACAGAGAGACACAGAGAGACACAGAGAGACACAGAGAGACACAGAGAGACACAGAGAGACACAGAGAGACACAGAGAGACACAGAGAGACACAGAGAGACACAGAGAGACACAGAGAGACACAGAGAGACACAGAGAGACACAGTGCACGTGGTGGAAATTCGGCTCAAAACACAAGCCTGGGTGCGATGCCCAACAGCCCCGAAACTTGTCTGGAACCTTTCAGGTGGCAAAAAACAATGGACAATGGGCGCTAAAGCCCTTTCTTGGCCAAGAGACTTCTCACTTGCCAATCTCCTGGTACTTAGACCATCGACGCTGGCCTTCGGGCTTGCGCGCGTTTGTTCGCTGCTCTTTGAGCAAGCGGCGCCAAACTGCGACAAAACAGGGACTCGGCAAACCAGGCCCGGGAACGCCTTTCCCATACCATCCGTTCTGGAAGAGGTCCCCTCTTCATCGAATTTTCCCTGGCGGGCCCTGCCGACAGGGCAATTGCGCTACCAAAACGAACAGCGTACTACCGACGCGGAGCGCTCCAACCAAAGGCCATGTGGGTGTTTCTCACAACTCATGATGTTTTACAAAAAAGAAAACGTTTTGTTCAAGTCTAAATCCCTTTAGAGCGGATTATTTTGAGAAGCCCCATATGGCTTGAAGGAAAATTCAAAAATCGTGAAACCACCTAGGAGACTTAAAGTTGAGCGAGCGAGGAGGGCCTAAAGTTCAAGATCACATGCAGGTCCCCCAGGCTCGTCCTTGACAATTGCATAATCCCCGAGATTTCAAGGGTGCGGGGCAAGCAAAAGAGCGGCATTCGCTCGAAGCTCACCATCTTGTCCGGCAAGTCATGGCTCTTCTTTGCCTGGCGCCACAGCTTCATGCATAGCTCCAGTGTGTACTTGTACACGAAGACTTCTGACAGGCCGCGCCCAATCAAAGATGTCAAAGGGGCGGAAGCAGCACACACCTGCATGGCTTGACAATCTATGTCAAGGAATATGTTCTTGCCCTGCAGCGCAACTGCTTGCTCCATGATCCCTTGGTCGCCATGGCTCCCTGCGTCCATGTCGGAATCCTCAGAAAAGCAGGTTGCTTGCAACGGATGGGTACTGTCCTCAGCTGCAGCTTCGGAATGCCCACGTGAACTGCTGAGACCGTCATAAAGCTCAAGCTGCTCTCTGTCATCCACGTCGTGAATTGCATCAGTTGCCTTGTTTCCAGCCAGCGACTGCAAATCTGTGAAGTCACGTAGGCCAATGAGATGGCGGGTCTGCCCAGTTGGCAGCTGGTACTTGACTTGAAAAACCTCAGTGCGAAACTTGCTGGCACAGCTGTCCACCAGACGCGTGTGAAACGCCTGGGCTGCGGAGCTGGATCCGTGGGATCCACAGTCCTTCCGGAGAATCTCTTCTGCTCTCGCTGCTTCATCTCTTGCGACGAATTCGGAGAACCGCAAGCCTTGGTCCGGCTCAAGGGATGCTAAACAAAGAAGCGCGTACCACATTGAAAACAAACATCATCCAGCCGTTTGTCTTTCTGAAGATGCCATGCAGCTGCAAACGTCGAAGGCAAATTAAATGAATCAAACTGACACACGTTGAACCAGAACCCCCCACATAAACTGAAGGCGCGCCTTGAGTGGAAGAGCCACTTCGCAGGAGCATGGCGGCCAACTTGGGGCAGTGCTCTCTGAGCCTCAAGTCATCGTCCAGCTCCATCACTGCATCGCAGGTCAGCTGCAGCAAGCCAGAGGCAGCATCCAGCTGGGAGGAGACGTGGTTTTCACGCAGTCGTGCCGCGACTCTTTGTTCGAAGGCGTTGTAGACAAAGCGAACCAGGATGCCTGCCAGATTGGGCGAGGAATTGCTTCAAGAACCAAATCGTAGGATTGCGAACATTCACCGAAAACAACGCAGACCGCGCAAACAACGTCTGGCCGTGGCCGAAAATGGAGAACCATGCAAACCGCAGATTTTGGCCCGATTGCTCTTCTTTGCTGTAATGGAGGAGAGTGCCCCTATTTTTGAGCCACACCTTACCCTTTTAAGCCCCAACCTTCCCTCGTGGCGGCGCCAGGGGATTGTCTAGGCGCTGGATGTCACCGTGCGTCGAGCGGGCGCAAACCCAGGCTCTGCCGGCCTTGCGAAAGCGCTGCGCCTGTCACGACATCTGTACCTGACCTTGCGAAAGCGCTGCGCCTGCCACGCAAAACTAGTGTTGCGAAAAGTAAACGCGTCTGTGCCAACGGGCCCGCGCTCCAAGCCTGTGCGAGATTGCTCCGAACGTGCTCTGACCAAGCGGAGCGATCAGGCTCAGGCTGACGGGTACACTTTGTTCACTTTTCTTTTCCCCCGCTGCACGCGGGCTCTTGTTTTTTCCGCGCGCATATTCCTTCTCTTGTCGTCTGTCTCAGAGAGCTAGCTTTCAAGTAGTTGTCGTAACACGGAAGTTCCTTCTACTTCCTTTGACAACTGAGAGAACAGATGTTGCGGAATTGGCCTTTATTTTTGAGGCACAACCATTTCATAGCCTTCCCCTTTTAAACCCCACCCAGACAAATTTCGCGCCTACGCAGCCAGCCATGACGAACTCGGCTCCGACGAGGGTGCCCGGGTGTTGGAAAATGGTGCCGGCAGTATCTTCCGCGTCGCCGAGCAGCGCCCGCAGCACCACACTAGCGGCCACGCCCAAGTGAACCAGCCACGCCATGAGCCAACTCTGGACAAACAACAGAGATGGCACCTCCGGGTCCAAAACAAGGGTCCCCTTTCCTTCGTGTTTGCTTTCCACGCGAGGATCAAACACTGCAGTGAATCCGAGGTGTATGCTTTCAACTTTGGGAAGACAAAATGCAGCAAATTCAGAGCCAATGATTGCCCCCCGCCCCAATTCTTAGAAGTCACATGGGTTATTCACTTTGCTGGACCTCCGTGACATGCGCAAAGCACTCCGCCTGTATCGCCCCAAGGCAGAAAAGCCGCACGGCGAACACATGGGATGCGTCGCATCCCATGGGGCTGAGCCAGACGGCCACGAAGACGTGGGAAATGAGGTACCAGAGGTTCAGCAGGCGCACCGTCAAGACGCAGGGCAGCCAAGTTGCAACAAGGCAAAAGTTGTACAGCAACCCGCTCCAAGTGGCCAAGGGTAATAGGAACGGTGGCCGTGGATTGCCAGCAAGGACGTTCCTCTGCAAAACGGAGAGCGATAGGCACAAAGTAACTGCTGCGATGGAGAAGTACGACTGCGCAAACTCCAGCTGCAACTGGGAGACCTGCGTGCGAAGGACCCGCTCTGAATCGTAGGGCTTTCTGATGAATTGACTCACAACACCTGCGGCGAATCCAGGCAGCTCACAAATTACGTTTGCGAGGCGCCCGCGCCACTGCCAAGCTTTCTGAAAGAACCTGATGACAAGCGCGAGTTGCAGCAGCGCGCAAGATGCCAGGTAGGCCAAGTCGCCAGGGTCGAACATGAGGCTCGAAACTACAACTTTGGCTTCGCCAATGTGCAAAAAAATGTCGAGCCAAAAGCTGCTTTTGTCCAGTGATCTCAGCTTTCATTCTTTGAAGAAGAGGCATTCATGTCATTGTCCACACCTGAGAGCTTCTCATTCTCTCCAGCCCCCGCCTTCCCAACAAATGATGGTTTCCTGGTGGTTTCCCCAAAAGAACGCGTGCGCACACACATACACAAAAAACACACACACACATCCATGGCCTTCAAGTGCGCCATCAAGGGCTGGCCGCAGCAAGCATCCAGCGCCTCCGTTCCAACGAGTCGTTTCCAAGCTAAAAACACCTGGAAGACCACGGGAAACTATGGGCCAAAAAGGTGATGTGTTAAAGCCACACCGGGGCGTGACCTTGATTGGGGAACCCCCGTGAAAGAGGGACGCGTTGGACATCAGAATTCGGGGATCCATGTCCACCACTTTTGAGGTGGTTCCAACTCTTAAAGTGCAAGGCCACAAAACCCTAGGGGAAACTCACCCATGGGCCAAACATGCGAAGCTTTACTTGCCAAAAGGCGAAAAGGTTTGTAAAATCCCTGGCCTCTGCGAGCGCGGTTGGCAGCGGCACGCCCAGCGCCCCCAGCCCCTGCAGGAGGGTCTGTTGAGGCTCCAGCGAAGCGAGCGGAATCAAAGCCGCCGCTTTTCGGAGCGCTTGCTCGCTCGCCAGCAAGTCCGCGTGCCTGGAGCGGCTCCGGCTGAGTTGGACCATCTCGGTTGACCCGAAGCTAATTGACCATTGTCACAGCATCAAGTAGCAACTGCCATTCTTTTGTGGGGTGGGGGGTTCCAAAGTTCCAAATGCCCGCCTCATGCACCGCAAGCTGGTCTCCAGACCCGCCAGCAACCCGCTTCCGCAGTCCGCTGCAAACTCCGGCGCCCACTCCATCGGAGCCGGAGCCGCCCAATCCGAATGCGAAGCCTGGCCATCCGCCAAGCTCACTGGGCGACGGATGGCATCGGTCAGCCTGCTCTTGTTGTCCCAGGAGCAGATCAGCACTTGCTTGGCCAGGGGCTCAAAGTCGAAAGTCCTTTTATCTTCCAAAAGCCCATCCAGGCAGCACGATACCGCCAACTCTTCGAAGCCTTCCACAAGAAGCTTGAACTCCGCATCCAGGCGTCCAGTGCTGATGAGTGAGTCCATGTCTGCATCGCCTTGAAACGAAAGCCTCTGCTGGAGGCTCCTCGGGGCGTCTTCATGCTGACACAGGGCCTCGATCGTGTCCAGATAGGTCTGCCGGACTTTCAAGATGTAGCTGATGATTCGGTACATCAAATCCGGACCATCATGCTCGCCGGAAAGGGACAAGAGAGAAAGCAAAGATGTGTCTCGAGACAGCTCATCAAAGCCTCGCATGAACAGAACAACCAGAAAATCAAGGCAGAAACTCCAAGTGACATGTCTGCAGGCTGCAGTCAGGCTGCTAAAATCCTGCCCGCAAGCCCCGACTGGTAGTGCGCCATTGGTGGCAGTACGGAACTTCTTGCATGCATCTAAAGCTTGCTGGCAAACATCATGGATGTAGCTCTCCTGGGTCCACAAAGGCCTGTTCTTGGTGCAGAACTCCTGCCCAAGACCAAAGAAAGGTCAAGTTGCACGAATCGGTTGGCAACAGCCAGTGAGGAACCTTTGCCAAACCAGCAATGCACCAGAAGAATGCATTCTATTCTGGCAAATACCGCTATGGTCGAAAGGATGGGGTAAGATGGTTAGACTGTGGGCTGAGACGCGTCCTGCACCGCTTCGCCAAGGGTCATTCCTGCCAGCTGCTGAAGAGTCGCACCCGTGCATTGCCTTGAGTGCGAAACCTGGAAATCAAATGACCTTCAAGGACCTCAACTCAAAGTAACCAGAAAACCTGGCTGTGAGTTTCAACGGGGGGACTCTTTGGTGGACATGGTTTAGGTGGGGGATTCATGTCCAACCACTTTGGAGCTGGTTCCAACTCTTGAAATTCAAGGCCAAATTTGGTCCGGCGGATTTCTTGCGAAGATGCAGGTACTCCACAAAGTCCGGGCCGTGCAGCCAGGCATAGAGCCTCACAATGTCCGGGCCGAGCTCCACCAACTTCAGCTCCTTTTGTGGCAAAGGCGGCTCGCAACTCTCGCCCTCAACTAGAAATGGCGGATGTTACAGCGTTGTTATGTTATCATATATAAATCAACATGCAGCTGCGATGGACGATCTGCGCCGGTATGGATGAAAGGGACCGTCCATGCCCAGTTTGCGCCCAAACGGCAACTGTCCTGGAGCGCCATGGCATAGCGGTTCACCACCTGGAAAACCCGGTTTGTAGAGAAGTCTCCTTTTGAGGCGCCCTGGAAATGGGGTTCCATGCTTCCTTACAGAGTATGCGGAAGAGCCCCTGATCTCGAGCGATTGATTTGGGCGTAATCCTTTCGCGGGACAGCCGCAATACAAGGCTTCCGAAAAGCAGGGTCCGTCTCTGACCCTTGCAAAAATGAAACATGCTGCTGATCGTTGCTGGGGATCGATCGTCAGTTTCCCAAAAGGTCAAAAGCTAATTCGGAACCACAGAGCAGCGTTGTTTGGAGGGGCCTTTGCTGTTCACAACCCGCAACAAATGATGCTCAAACCACGGCCAAATAAAGCCCATGCAGGAGCCCATGCAGAAAACGGACCTCATACTTGTTTTTGGAACCCTGAGATTCGGGTGTTTGTCCGATTTTGGGGCGTTTCCCTTAGAACCGCAAACAGGGCACCAACTCCAAAACAAAAAACACACCCAAGTGAACAAGTTGGTTGATCTTGCAGCCCCAGGCTGCACAAGTTATCTGGGTTTCAAGCGTCCAGTATACCACGGGAAACTCACCTGTGGGCCACAAAGGCGATGCTTCAAAACTGGCCAAACAGGACCGCCCCAATACTAAAGTAGTATGAATCAGTACTAACCCTGTTTTCTGCAACCCCAGGTGCTCCTTCAACAACTATGGGGGTCTATGGGCAAAGAGGTGATGTTTAAAACCCAAAGGAGACATAGAGCTGGGCCCCTCTCCCCGACCCTCGCCTGGGCAAAGGCGGTGTCCGAGCTGGACATGGCCAGGCAACCGTCCGCGAAGGCGGCCCGGCGCGGCACCTGCCGCGACAGCGCCGCGCAGTTGCACTGCTGCAGGGCGTCCAGGGTCTCCGGCAGCGCCTCAGCGCATGCCCGTGTGTGCATCTCTTCCTCTGGTGCCACAAAGGGTAGTGACTACCCAATTGAACATTAGACATTGTCTGTTCTAGGGTAAAGGAAATGGATCTCTGAAAGGGAATGCTCTTGCAAATGTCAATCGCCACAAATCGGTTCCCAGCGCTCCCAGAATCCATGGGTGACCAGAAACCATCATGTGACACCCAGAGACAAGAAACCCTACGTTACCTACTTTATCCTATGCATGGAATTTAGCCAAACTAAGCTAAAAAGGACACCTATACCCATCAATGTAGGTACTCGAACCTGCTCAAATAGCGGTCTTGAGCACAGGCCCTTGTGGGGCCAAACCCCCCCCCCGAGCCGATCCGCCTGCAGCTGGTGCGTGAGGATGTCGCGGAAGGCCACCTCCGCAGCGATCTGCGCCTCCGCGTTTTCGAAGACCCGCAGAAACACGCGAGGCTCCTGCCGCTCCTGCGAACTGGAACCCCAAGCCGACGTTTCACCCAGAAACCGACCATGCTCTAAGAAGGTTGGTTGCTAGAGCCTACCCCTTAGCATGATTTAGCTATGTGTAAAGGACATCCTGTTGGCTTGTGAAAAGGGGCCGGACTCCTCCCCGGCGCAGCTCAGGAACATCTGCTCGGCGATGCGGCTGTTCAGAACCTCGCTGGGGCCCGAGAGCTCTTTATAAAGGACATGTTCGAGCACATGGGTTTGTTCTGTGACATGACAACCATTGGGTGGGGCTTAGATTTTACAAACAAAAATGTTTGGTGTGGCTTGCTGAAAATAAAATCCAACCCATTTTGGGTGTTTATCTCTTGCTTCTTTTTTTGTAAAGAACTAGTGAAACTAGTGGTTTTCTTGCAAGACGCGAAGCGGGCTTGCATTTCGTGGCTGACTGAACATGTCCCTTCCCGAGTGGATTTGCCCGACGAAGCAGTCCAAACGTTTTGCTTGCCACGCGCGTGGTCTTGCTAAACAGCAAGTCCAGGAGCTTGCGGAGTGAGCTTTTGGAAGGCTAGAGGGGCGAAGCTCTAAACCGGCGGCTGTGCCCGTGATATGGGGTAAGGTCTTCAAAGTCGTAAAAACGTATAAAGTAGGGATATCGTAACCCAGCTCCACTCAGTGAAGCCAATGGCTGCAAAGCGAAGGGAACGGCTTAAAAACCAAAAGGACAATGGCGCGCCATCCACAGTATTCTCACGCACCTTATCCCCCGTAGCTCCGGAAGGCTCCCTCTTTAAAGGCAAATTTGGACACCCAGCACCGAGCTCCTGATGTCCCCAGGACAATTTAACCCCGGTTTATATGGGGGCGTTGCCCTCCAAACGCTGAATCCCCACTCAACCAACTTGGAAACCCCTATGGTGGGGTCCCAAGTAGAGCCTTGGACAACTGCAGTTTTAGGACACGGCTGCTCAGGGGTTCGTTCATAGCCCATCCCACGGACACGGCAAGGTCAGCCTCACCGACCCGCCTGGAGCTGCTCGGAGGCCAGGCCGAGGTTCAGGAACTCCCAGGCCGTGGCCATCCGCTGGAAGCAGAAGTTGGCGCTGCGGTCCGAAGCCGCAGCGCCGTGCTGGTTCAAGAACTGCCTGACGGATGGGGTGAGGAACATATGGGAAAATATAGGTATAGTGGTAAAAGTATGGAAGCATTGGGGAAACTGGGGGGAGAAGAGGGGCGGACTATGAGAAAATATGGAAGATGAGGGAACATAGTGGGACATGTAGGGTCCTTCTCTGAAGGGTATACCACTTTGTTGTGCTTTTTGGAAACAGGACATCCCACCATTTTTTGGGGTCCGCTAAAATAGACACCCCCATGATGGAAACTATGGAAAACTCTGAGAAGTGAAACATATGGGAAAGGGGAAACTTAGGGGAAAACAGGGAGGTTCAGGGAAACATTGGGAGACAAGAAACATAGGGAAGGTTTCGGCACCGCGTCTGAAGCCCGGGCGCTCTTGCTGCGACACAATGGCTGTCGGGGTCAGCACCTGGTCATGAAGGTGCTCATGTGCTTCGTCGTCCAACAAGAAGTGGAGGCAGAAGGCGCCGTAGCTCTGGAAGAAGCTGGCAACAGCCGCCTGCGCAGACCAGTGCGAATTCTGGATCTTGTTGCCGTACCTGCCGAAAGGACACGCCAAAATTGGGGCGTAAATGTGAGACTTCCTCAACCAAGTCCATGGTTTGGAAGCACCGAGGTTGGCATCAAACTCCAAGGTTGCTGAGATTTTCCAGGAAGTCGGTGAGCAAGGTTGCGAAGGTTTTGCCCAAGGTGGTCTTAAAAGCAGCGGACACAAGCCAGGGACTTCCCATACCAACATGGAACGGGTTTTGGACGCCCGCGCTTCAGGTTGCCGTCCAGGTCGAAAACGCAGCCGCAGTCGTAGTGCACTCTGCCGATGGCGGTCTTCCAAGTGCTGCCGAAGCCGAAGGTCCCGTGGAGCGTCTGCGGCTCATTGGCGTGCAGCCACACGTGGTGCCGCTTGGCCTCCGGCAGCGCCAGCAAGCATGCCACGTTGCTCACCAAGCAGTTCCGCATCTGCAGCTGGAGGCTGTCCGTACAGTCCACCCGGAACCTGAGCAAAGAATGTCAGCAAACAGCACTCGTGGCTGAATTCTTATGATCAAAGCCAGGTAGAAGATATGAAACAAATATAGCTCCGTGCTGTCGATTTCGGCTTTCTTTGTCACTCCGCCAACCCGATGTTGCTCAACATTCACACACCGCCGTTTGACGCTTTTCTTCGTACACGGGTAGAATCGCCAAGTCACATCTGCGCGACTTCGTTTGCTGAGTTGTGCGTCCGCTGAAGCGAGGGGTCGATGAAGACCCGGAAGATGTTGAGCTCCCGCTCCGAGAAGTTGAGATCCAACTCTGGGAGCCAGTCCAGCATGGGGTGCACCGCTGCATTTCTGGCGTTGTAAAAGCCTGTGGCCGAGCCCGGGAGCCTAGGAGCCTAGGAGCCTAGCCCCTGTCAGACTCACATCTTCGGGGACAGAAATCACCTTCGGGTTCTCATGAAGCAACCCTAAAATGAGAGTCAACCCCACAGAACAGGCACCCTCAAGACAAAGACACGCCGGCCCAAGGCCCCCAGAGTTACAAAGCAAATGCTGCCGCGGCACCATCATAAATCGCCAAAAACAACCTTAGTGGCTGTCCCCGCAGCAAACCGCCCGTGCGCAGAATTCTATGTCAGCACACATCCCGCGTCAGGAAAGTGCAGCTCTCGCCGCGGGATGTCATTAGAAGGGGTGGCCGAGGTCTGTAGGCCGTTTCAAAGAGAACCGCTGGATGCATCAGAGAAGCTCATCTAGAATCCTGGATGGATCCCGCAAAGTACAGTACTTTGGCAACGTACAGTGACGTGATTTCCTCTTGAAGGTGCGTTTGTCCACATTTGTCGGGTAGCCCTCTTCATGCAAAGGGTGGGTCCATCGACGCTAGCAGCCTGTGAATCTGTATATGCAGCAATATGCATGATCCTCCCTGTCGTGCCAGTGTATGCGCGCGAACGCACACGAAGGTGTTCTGAAGATAGGGGTCCCCTCAAATGGTTGGGTTCCTTGTGAATTCCTTGGAGATGCCGACCCGAAGAGGATCCACCAGTTTGAACGACTCCCGTGCAGCCGTGCCGCAACGCCTTCACCACTTGGCGCGGAGCTGCAGCACAGGCGTCCCAAATTCTGGCAATACTTTTCTGCTCGCAGGAGAGCCGCAAAGCTTTCACGATGTTGGCGTATTCTTGCGGCTCCTTCAACGTTTATATTGACTTCGGGTTAATCCGGAGGACCATAGTACTCAAGAGTAGTCCCCCTGTAGGGAATTAATACATAAGGGAGGATTCCTCTGATTGTCCGGATTAACCCGAGGTTGACATGCGAGTCACACACGTCCCGCCTCCACCTCGTCTGTGACCTCCAAACCCAGGACAGTAAGGACCGTGGTCAGCAGCCACCAGCCCGAAGTGCCTTCAGCTTGCCACTGGTGCTGGGCATTGGTGGCTTGATTTGGAGCTTGATTTGGATTTGAACCCTTTCTTGAGACCTAACCAATCTAAACCAATGAGTAAACCGCCCAACCAAACCGACCACCTACCCAGACCGGTTTGAGTGGGAAGCTGATTCGCTGGCGGACGACGCGCGCGTCGTGTCACATTTGGCCCAGTGGCGTGCGGCTGCAGACTCCACCAGCGGGCGGAGATCCGCAACTGCGGGCAGAACCTGGAAACGTCTCCCGAAAAAAAGTGGAAAGGAAAGGAAAGGAAAGGAAAGGAAAGAAAAGGAAAGAAAAGGAAAGGAAAGGAAAGGAAAGGAAAGGGGGGGGGCGTCTCTTCTTTTTGTTTCTTTTTGGGGGAAGGCTTTTCGAAAATGGTGGCTTTCTTTTCTGTTCTTTTCCCCTTCAAACCAACACAAGAAGGGCCAAATGCGGATCCTCCTGGGGGCTTCCCTGTTACACCTTTCAAAAGGGTTCACACAAACAAAGAAGCACCCGCACAAGTCGATTGGGCGCCCCGCGGTACACAGCTCCGGGCTCTGCAGCAGGTCCTGCCAAACACGAAACTTGAAGTTGGATGCTGCAGTCAGAAATAGAGCCCCGCAAAATTACCTGTTTTGCTGGATGAAACCGAAACTGAAGGAAGACCAAAAAGGCCCAAGGCAAAAACGCTGGCATCTGTCTCTTCAAAGCTCACTTGTTGATACGTGTCCTTAGCTGGTAGTTTGGCAAGTAGATACGGCCCTCAATGCCTCAAAAGCAACTCTCAGTGGTGCCCCAACATCATATAAGCATGGAAATGCACTCGTACTGTATGTGCTCTGCTGAAGTTGAAGCTTGCAAATCATGTGTGAGCTCTTGGGTTCCAACTGTCAAATCATCTGCAAACAGATGCTCAACAAACACCAAGAAGCTAGATTGCTCAGGACGCTATCCTCGCCCCGCAATTTTTCCCAGCCCAAGCGGGCTTTGCATCCCCCAAAGAAAAACCACAAACCAAACTTGCTAAGTCAAGCGCACACCAACAAACTGAAGAAACCCATACACTCACGCTCATAAGAAGGTATCTTGCTAACATTCGATACTTGCTAAACACACACACACAGAGACAGACAGACACACACACACAGACAGACAGACAGAAAGACAGACACAGACAGACAGACAGACACACAAACACACAGACACACAGACAGACAGACAGACAGACAGACAGACAGACAGACAGACAGACAGACAGACAGACAGACAGACAGACAGACAGACAGACAGACAGACAGACAGACAGACAGACAGACAGACAGACAGACAGACAGACAGACAGACAGACAGACAGACAGACAGACAGACAGACAGACAGACAGACAGACAGACAGACAGACAGACAGACAGACAGACAGACAGACAGACAGACAGACAGACAGACAGACAGACAGACAGACAGACAGACAGACAGACAGACAGACAGACAGACAGACAGACAGACAGACAGACAGACAGACAGACAGACAGACAGACAGACAGACAGACAGACAGACAGACAGACAGACAGACAGACAGACAGACAGACAGACAGACAGACAGACAGACAGACAGACAGACAGACAGACAGACAGACAGACACACAGACAGACACACAGACAGACACACAGACAGACACACAGACAGACACACAGACACGACAGCCCGATTGTGCTACCAAGTTCGAGGAGACGCACTATGTCAACCGAAGCCAACATTACAACAAACACGTACCTTTAAAACCAATGAGAGGAAAACGAGGGCAATAAAAGGATTAAGGCGGGCTTGGGGGTTTCACATGAAAGCTTGCTGCGCAACCTCAAAATGCGGCTTCCCCCAAACCATCAGAAATTGTGTCCTGCAGGTAGCCGGACCCCCTGAGTTGGTAGACCTCACGGATGAAGACCTCGGCTTACCGCGCCTTGAGACTCCTGATTAACCCGTTGAGGTCGGGTTTGGGACCTCAAGAAGGGGTGGCCATTTTGAGGTATCCCAAGATTCGGGTATAAACGGCTGACCTCAATCAGACGGCAAATGCTGAGACCAAAAAGGTGGGCTTTAAGAACCTTGGCAATGGACCAACAATTGACGTAAGAGCTTAACAAGGTCGGGTTTAACCCGGAGCCGTCTTGAAAGAAATAAAGGGGGCGGTTCACTAAATCATCTAAACGTCCTGAGGTCGACTATTTCCCCCGCCGATGCATGGGAAAGAAACAACGCTGTTTTGACCGATTCCACATACATGCAGTTGGCCCGAAACCCTGCTTGCAGCTTGGCGAATTTGAGCTTCGGCCACTGTTTGAATTGCACCCTTCTTTGACCCGAGCAGAACTTAGGTGGCGCCGTGCCAGGCTTACGCTCTGACTCCCAAAAGACTGGAACAAAAAGCGGGCTCACGCACCTCCAATTTGGGTAATGAGCTATTTGGTGTTCTGACATTGGTCAACCAAAATAATCACATCCACTGCAAAGGATCACATCATGTCTTTTACAACTGCCAAAGCGAATGAAGACAAATGCTTGGTGCAAGCATTGTTCAAACAGTCTTCAAAGGATCGATCTATGCTGGATCCGGGCTCGGTTGTGAAACCCTGACATAGCTCATGCCTCCGAGCGCCCTGCTGGCCCATGCACCTCAAGGGAGTACGCTCGCAGGTCCTCCTCCCCAGCACGACCTGGATCCACGAAGGCTGAGTGGTGAGCGTCAAGGGCTCTCCCCTTGCAGGCCTCTCCCCCCCCAAAAAACGGCCACCGCTTCCTAGGTCCTAATGGCTTACCTTCAAAACGCCCAAAAGAGAGGTCCCAGGATCAATCCATTCGGACAAGACTAAGGGGTGGGCATTCCATTCTCGGAATGTGCGACGCTTTCCCCCACGGCTTCCATCCGCCTTCCGCCAAGCTGCGCAAAGCTTCCGCCGCTTGCTGCGGGTCCTGCTCCTCGCACAAAACCCGCGCCAACAGCTTGGCCACGTTGAACTCCAGAGCGTTTTTCTCAATGGACCCCAGCAGGTTCCGCCCTCGGTCCAATTCAATCCGTTTGCAAAAAACGGAAGGGAAGCTCAATGCGTGGCATTTCTAAGGAATGAACCATCCAGGCGGTAGAGCCGCATGAAGGCTCCAATCAGTTCTGCCTCTTCGGACGATGCCTTCCATGCGAAGGTCAAATCTGCCAGCCTGGCAGCGCCGAGTGCACGATCGAACACGCCTACCGCCAACTTCGATTCGGATAAAGCGCCTGCACCCCTCGCCACGTGATGGTGCGTAGAAAGGGACATAGGTCTGCTCAATGCTTTGGAGGCAGTTAGCCACCGTCGGGCACTTTGAAAGGATCCAAATCCCGAGCTCGTCTGGGATCTTGGTGTCCGCGACCTGCCATCCATCTCGGATACCTGCCACCAGTTGCTCCTGCATCTCCTCCGAGACCTGGACGCCTCCGGGCTGCAGAGTGGAGCAAACCAGGTTCCGCACGAAGGCGGCATGGGCGTCGCCCAAATGCTCGAAGATGGACCCGAGCTCTCGGCCCTCACGCGCCACCAGCTCCGCCAGCACGCTGCGGTCCACGTCACAGCCCGCCAGAAACGCACAGAGAGACATGGCTTGCAGTCGCGCCCGGGACGCCCGGGCAGTCAAGTGGCGCTCTGCCTGCGCATGGAGCTGCAACCACTCCTGCAGATCACCTTCCAATTTGCTGCGCAGATGTTGCCAGAGACCCTCCTCCAAGGCGTCCAGCGACAGCTCCTCCAGGTCCGAGCGCATTGCTCGCGCCTCGAGCGAACCGAGCGAGTCGAGGCTGGCCGGGCGCTCGCCGAAAAGGTGGCGGCACAGCCGCAGCACCGCGTAGAGCCGCACGAGCCGCGGGCCGTGCTTGTGGTGCGCCACGCACAGTGAGGCCAAGCTGTCCAAAGGACTCTCATGCCACGCACAAAAGGCACCCAGCCAGCCAAGCAGGAGCTGAAGGATCCAGTCTTCTGCAGGAGCACCCAAGGTATCCAGCAGGAAGGTGCCATAGTTCTGGAGCACCTCCTTGTCCGCCAAAAGACCAAACTCCTGCAGCGCCTGGTCCTTTTTCAACTCCTCGGCCAGTTTCCGGGCCAAAGCCTCCTCGTCCAGCCGCCCCTTGCGAATCAACTTTTGCAGAGTCTGATGCAGGTGTCTTTGGAGTACGGAAAAGAGCGGCGACACTCGGCACTCATCGCCCAGCGGGATGGTCAAGGAGTCGTCCTGGCCAACTTACGCGATTTGTGTTCTGCATGTCCAGCAACGCGTCATGTGCAGTCAGCTTGAGGTGCAATCAGGAAGAGTAAAGAAGGAGCAGCTACCTTTAAACTAGATTTTCGGGGTCTCCACGGAGTTCCTAACTGTCCAGCCTGAAGTCAAACCATGCTGGGCAAGCACAAAGGACTGGCAACGTGACTAAAAGTTGCCAAGGCTCCATGTGGCCCTCCATGTGGCATGTGGACAGCATGGGCAGGAGAGCGGCTGTGGCGCCTGTACGGTCTGCAAGCAGGCCCCGCAAGCCATAGCGAGAGCAAATGGTCCTCAGGTATCGCACCGCATAGTCCTGAAGCAATCATCCAATCATCATGCCCCACCTAGAGGGTTAAATGTGCTACTTGTTTTTGGTTCCCTTGCTTTTTGTGTTTTCCTCATGTTTTTGGCTCAACAAATTATTTTGGGGTCCGAAGCCCTTTCTTCTTTTTCTTCTTTTTGGGGGGGAGGGGGGGGGGGGGGCAAACACACACGGTGTGCACACAGGTGAAGATGCTCGTCTGGTCCCGGCCTCAAGCACGCGTACACAAACACTAGCACGCGCAGACAACTACCGAAACAAGTTCAGAAATCTACCGGCATTCTGTTTGAGTTTCTTGCGATGTGGCTCCAAACAAGGCCTCTAAGCTGCTGTAATGAAAATTCGATGTTAAATCTTCTTGACTGAGAATAGATGCCATGAAGATCACACACCTTCCAAGGGGCATTGTCGCTCTTCACGTGTTTTCTGAAGTGCATCGGGCTTCGGCTGCTACTCTGCATGACGCGTTGCATACTTGTCAGCCTGAAGCAAGGGGTAGGAACGTCTGCTAACAAAGTATGACTTGCACGTGAAAATGCATGCTACATAGCCAGCTGCCACCTGTGCATCACGCCGCCATGTGGTGTTCCATTCAATCGTGCACACAACACACCTTTGAACAGGCCCCCGCACGTCATCGCACAGGTCTTTCAGAGCCAAATACAGGCACACATTTTACTAGATCTTGCCTGGGCTGTGTGAAACGAGCGCAGTTACTTGGCAAGTGGACGCAACTTAGCATTGCGGCTTGCCAAACAAAGCTAAAACTTGTCCATGAGACCGCTAGAAGCTCAATAACTCCAGCAAATATGCAATGGAGCGCACTGCTGCATTGTCGGTTGAACTAATTGGTTTTGGGCTTTAAATAGAACTACATTCCGCCCTCCAGGTCCCCAGTCCTGGAACTTCAGGTGCAGGAACAAGCGCACTCCCTCCGACAGGGACATCAGCTTCTGGCCACTGCGCACCTCCTGCGCGATGCGGGTGATCTGCTGCTGCAAGTCGTCCCCCAAGATCTGCGTGTGGAAAGTCGCCACCAGGTGCCGCCAAATCTCCGGGCGTTGGTGCAGCACCTGCATCAGCGCTTGGCTCCGATCCTTGCAGCTGGCATTCTCGGCATAGAAGCGGTCCGCCTGGGACAGCGAGTTGGCCTCGAGACTGTCCAACACGCATTCGCAAGCCCAGGAGACGCACGCGACCACTTTCCCCAGCAGGCCACCCTCCCGCTTCACAACGGCTCGATCCTGCTTCACAGTCTTGGCTCGTGCGGGGAGAAGTCGCGCCCGTCGGCAGAAGTCCACCACGTAGGCGTTCATGCTCTCCTCCTTGACACAGTGCTCACTTGGCTGGCCAGTGGCCACGGAGGAAAGAATGGCCCCTGTGTCGAAGGACACACTTTGACCGATGCTGTCAAGGAAGAAGAACTCCCACTCGTCCAAGAAGATGCAAGGGTAGAGGCGCCCAGAAATGACGCGCTCCGGTGCGTAAAGCAACAACAAGCCAAAGAGAAGGTGGGTGTCAATCCGGGCCTTGCTGTCGATGAAGGCTCGCAACCACGAGATGTGCTGGTTCTCGTGGTGCTCCATGTCCACAACCAGGATCACGGACTTTGGCTCACGTGCACCTATCCTGGCAGTCAGCAGCGCCTCCAACGCCTGCGTTGAGTCAACCTCTCCCACGTTGATGGTGACGATCTCGCCCTGCTGCTCGGCTTGGTGCAGCAGCCGGTGGGTCTCTGCGCACTGCCTGGTGTAGAGCATCAGCTTGCGCAAGGCTTGGCCATGGGCCGCCCGCAGCAAAGCCGCCAGGGAGAAGTGACTCTGACGGAAGTAGGCGGCCCGGTAGAAGTCCTCGCGCCCCAGCAGAGGCGCCGCGTGCAGCATCCACTCCGGCGGCATCAGCTGGAGCAGACGCACCACCAGCTGCACGGTCACGCTGGCGCCCTCCAAGTCCGAGCACAGGGAGGCGGGGCTTCCCTTGCCCAGGCGCGACAACAAGGACAGCAGCAGACTCTTCAGCGTGTGGTCCGCCATTCCACAGAACGCCTCCGGCCATGGCTGTGGGAAACAACGCCCCAGGAGAAAAAGGTGCTTTCTTGTTGTAGTCCATGTCAATGGGAACCCCGCAACAAAAAACAGGCAGACAAAAGAAACGAAGGAAAAGACACGAGGTTTTCTGGGTCTCTGAGAATCATGACAACTTGAAGCCCCTCCCCCCCGTCTGCCTCCGGCTTCAAGCGTCGCACCAAGTCCTCGCAACGCTCGAGGGCGCTCTGCACCCGCGCCTGCTGCTGCGCCGAGAAGCTCCGCAGCCGCTGCTGCAGCACCTCCTCCAGAGGCAGCATCACCACAGAGAAGCGCGACCGCAGTGCCGCCGGCTGTGCCAAGAACTCCTCGCAGAAAAACGACCGCTCCCCCATGCTCCCCCCCCCCCCACTGCAAAAACGTTGACTGCTTCTGGTGGAGGCATATTGTTTTTTTTTGCTGGGTCTTGTGTTGGTTGGTGGGGAAGCACTGCAATTTCCCCGAAAGTTAGAGATCAAAGATCCGACGAAATAGCCAAGTCCTCCTTCTGCATCTGCAGCACCACGAAGAAGTCAGGGTGCACGCGGCAGTAGTATGTGCGCGGACCGTGGGCCACAATGATATACAAAATCTGCTCGCCCTCCTTGGTCTCCGTCACCCGGTAGTTCTGGTTGAAGAGGTTATAGAAAGAGGACAGGAGCCGTCCAGAGCTGCAGTTCCGCAACAGCACCGGGCGACCAGACTCCATGCAGAACTTCATCTGCGACACGCACTCTGCACAGCCAACCTCATCGGCGTCATTGGAGAAGTCCTGAAAAAGGAAAATGGACCTTCTGCGAGGCCAAGGATTCCCATCCATCACTTTGAGTGGGGCTCCCAGCTAGCCACTCACAGAAACTGGCAACCGAAAGCCCTTGGGTGTGCGTGTTTTGTGCCCTTTTCGCCTTGCTTGGTTTTAAGAAAAACCGCAAAATAATCCACCAAGTGGCCCCCCTGTTTGACACCTACATGGGAGCCTGCACGTCGATCATCTCGAAGTTTTGCGGCATGAGGCCCTGCTGCACCAAGCACCGGGCCGCAGAGTCGTCCTTCTGGTCGTCCAGCACGATGCAGAACCGGGGCGCCAAGTGGGGGGCGCCCGTCTCCAGACACGCCTAGGGCCGAGCTTTGGAGTGGTAGCGTTCCATCTATTGACAGCAACTTGGGGGCGCAAATCACCACTAAACCACCAATCCAAACCACCAACTGAGGGCTACCTGACATGGCGGGATTGGAGGACAGAAAAGCCATTGCCATGAAACTTTGAAATGGATTTCCCCAAAATGCCGTGCGATCTACATGGAAGTGCTTCGCACGGGGCAGTGACAGCTGGAATTACTGTAGCACTCAAAAGGTTGAACGTCAAAAAAAACGAAGTGGGAAAGCCGAAAAACAACGCAAGAAAACCGGAAAAAATGGGCTGAAACCGAAGATTGTCCCTCAGAGAGTGGTGGTTTCTTGGTTCTTTCGAGTTTGATATGTGCGAGTATATATTACATATGCTCGGTATCCCTCCCCTGCCCCCAAACAAAGCTCCGTAAAAGATCCTATCAAGGCTCCTTATACCTAAGTATGCTACAAATATGTTGAACAAAGTATACATGAAACAATCAATGATATAGAATGTCTAGCTAGAATGATAATTTAATGAAGTGCTCCTTTCCAACCATGATGATCATGGTAATATGTTGTTTTGGTACAGATTGATAGGACATAGTGTAATCAGAATTTCAATCCTACATTCGAAGTTAAATATTAATTCCTTTTCCAAAAAGATATCGATGAGAATCAATTAGAATTTGAGTGGCATTTAATAACCATTAGAAGCTCTTTATCGAAATGGAATGGAGCTGATTTGGATTTGCTGATGGAAATGATCACAGACAGGAATTATATGCAAATGACCTGAAGGTGAATACAGCTCCTTACAAAGCTCCTCTCAAGGCTCTTTGTGCCAAATCGGACATAACTCAAGTTGTCAACATTTTTTGAACATAATTTTCGGAAGAAAAGCTGTGGTAACGTCTCTGTTTTGAATGAGGGGTCAATTTGGTATTCCTTTTCAAACATGACTTCAATTGTACAATAAGTAATGCATAGTTTAAATGGGGAAGGAGTTCAATCTGAACTGCTAATTGCAATTTGAACCTAAATAGGATTTCTTTTCGAAATTGGTTCTCAAAAAAATGAAATGGACATTGAGTGGAATTTAATAAGCAGGAGGCATGTGTTTTGGACATGTAGATGAGACATAACACGGACAGAGGTGACACGGACTTGTTGACATACAATTCATTTGTGCCCGCAAATGCCACAGCAAAGGTATATCATGCGGTGGCTCAGCATGTATGTATATATCTATATCTCTATATATATATATATGTGATCCCTGCATAAGTGTGGAGCCCCCAACTTTATTCTGGCCATCCAGGCTCGTCTGAAAATGGGAGAATCGTGAAATATAGGAACCCTTTTTGGGAAAGCGATAAGAACATCAACAGCTCACACACCAATCCCCAACCAGGAAGGCCAAATGGGGAACCATAGGGAACCAAATGGGGAGTGTTTAGGCTTCCTTCAAAACCAACTCCTCATGTGCGCCATGGGCGTGGGAGAGGAACCCTCAGACGGTCGATGTCCAATCGCCTAAAGAATCGATGACTTGAGCCTCCGCTCGTTTTTGCACGGAGAACTTAGACATTCGAGCCCCCCCCCAAAGAAAAGACGAAAACAAAAACAAGTGGGCCACTGAGTTTCCTCTTCAAAGGTCCCTTGACACTGCCACTTGTTCAAGGGGATTTTACAAACCCCTGTCAAAACGAGACTTAAAGGTTCCACAGGTGTATGAGTGGCTTTGAAAGCCTTGGTTCAAATGGAGAAAAACAAGGTAAACCACAGTTCAATTGCATCCCCTTTCAGGGTTCCTATCCCGTTTTTCCCCATCCATCCTTATCTTGCCGGTGCTCAGCAGGGAGCGAGGGAATGACCCGTTCGAAATCATTTCTCCTTCCCTGCATCTCTCGCCCCGGGCTTCGCAGCACGACTTCGCTCTGCAAACCCCGAGCCTTGCGGTCCCCGAAGATGCAGGCCCTCGCCAGGTCCAGGCAGTTCCGCAGCTCCGAAGGCTTCAGCGGGTCCAGGCCCATGGCCTCGAAGAAGCGGCCCACCACCTGGCGCGACTGAGGCGATGGCTCGCCTTTTTGGGAGTTGGAACCCCGAAAAGTCGGGGCTTGGAAGGGAAACCGAATGGAAACACCATTTCGACGCCCTTTTCCATCTAAGAACAATACAGTAGACGTATGCTTGAAGGTTGCATCCACTTTGATTTGGTCAAATGCATCTTGTCGTATGGGAAATTATGGTTGCTTCGAGAGATTTGCTGATGGATGTGAGTTCGAGGGTCTCGTGTTGCCTTCCAAGCGATTTCTGTTGAAGGCGCCGCCGGAAATTTCAGGGATGACAAACGAAACAAGGGATCGCAGAGTGGGGAAGCGCAGAAACGTCCGAACCCCCGACCCAAAAACATGGTGGAAAACGACTCAGATCTGGTGACACCAAAGTGAGATCCCCGTGCCCAAGACTTCTTCATTGTTGTCAGGGATCCCTTTCTCTCACAGAAAAGGGCAACCTATCAACTTATCTTTAAAAACAAACCAGGGTACCTAAAACCCACTTAACTTTCAAGAACCTGTTCTGGTTGTCTTTCTGGAGAGCCTCTTCTGGTGTTCCGAAGGAAAACTAAGGGGGACGGGCTCGCTGTCAAAAAATGACACTTTGCTGAGAAATCCAGCTTTTGCAAGCGAGGCTGGTTTGCGTTGCAAACCCCAAGCCCGCAGGGGATTGAGAACATGAGATTTGACGAGAACCACATGCCTGCGTCTTGACTCCGATAAACAAATACAAGGCACATAGGGCCCCCGCCTTCCCAAAAAGTTGCCAGAAAAACAACTAGAGGACGATTGGCCCGAAAGCATTTTTCCCCAGGCGCTCATCCAGCCGCGGAGACACCTTGTTACATTGCTGCGGCGAGCGTGTCTGCACGCGGCGATGCTCAATGTGTATGGTCACATGAGAGCTGCATCTCACCGTCCTACGAGAGGAAACATGGCAGTGCTCGATCCCACATATTTACATCCGTTAAGACAAGAAGAGTAAAGCTCCGAAAGCTCGAAACGAAATACAAGCAAAAGGAAAAGCAATCAATAGCAAAGCTTACACGACGGCCACAGTTTTTGCAAAGCACGCTCGCGCAACTTAGCTCTGTGCAAAATGGCTCTGCGCAGCTTGGCTCTGTCAAAGTTGGCTCTACGCAAGCTACTTTTCGCGAGTGGCTCTGCGCAACTGGCTCTGTGCAAGTTGGCTCGGCACGAGTCTGCTCGGCGCAATGTGCTTTGCACGAACTGCGCCGCGCGATTTCTCACGAAAGTGGTCTGCGCAAGCTGCATTGTTCCAGGCTGCTGCGCGCAAGTTGCTCTCTGCAAGCTGCTGCACGCAAGTGCTCTGTGCAAGTTGCTCTGCGCAAGTGCCCTGAGCAAGTTGCTCCGCGCAAGTGCTCTGCGCCAGTTGCTCCGTGCAAGCGCTTGGCGCATGTGCTCTGTGCAAGTTGGTCTGTGCAAGTTGCTCTGCGCAAGTGCTTTGTGCAAGTGCTCTGTGCAAGTTGCTCTGCGCAAGTTGCTCTGCGCAAGTGCTGCCGGAGCTGTGGGAATGTACTTCGCGTACTATTTTTGTACTTAAAAGTTGCGATTTTCCAGCCGGAGCTGCGGGAGTGTGCTCCGCATGCTGCGTTTGTACTTAAAAGTTGCGATTTTCCAGCCGGAGCTGCAGGAGCACGCTCCGTACTACGTTTGTGCCTAAAAGCTGCGATTTTCAAGCCGGAGCTGCCGCGGACCAGGGGGGAATCGAACCCGCGACCGCGGGATTGCGAAAGCAGGCGCGCAACCACGAGACAACTTCCAAAGGCCATTTCGCGAGCAACAGAATCGCACGGCGAGAGCGCTTCGACACGCACGATCTCCGCAGAGGGTTCGCCGAGACTAAGAAGAATTCGCACGGCGCCACAGCGAGAGCGCTTCGACACGCACGATCTCCGCAGAGGGTTCCTCCGGGAATGTCAAAAACGCAAAAAACCTTGAGTTGCACCTCGACCACGCCGATCCCCGCAGAGGGTCGCGCGGGCACCACAAAAAACGCAAAAAACAACCTCGAGTTTTTGCACCTCGACCACGCCGATCTCCGCAGAGGGTCGCGCGGGCACCGCAAAAAAAGGAAAAAACTTAAATTTTTGCACCTCGACTACGCCGATCTCCGCAGAGGGTCGCGCGGGCACCGCAAAAAACGCAAAAAACCTCGAGTTTTTGCACCGCGCGGGCACCGCAAAAACGCAAAAAAAACCTCGAGTTTTTGCACCTCGACCACGCCGATCCCCGCAGAGGGTCGCATTCCCGATCGTCGGCAACATCCCCACCCCCCGCCTTTAAAAAAAGATTCTTAATACCGAGCTCTTTCTCTTTCTTTCCCGCACGTTAAGTACTTAACCTAACTTACTTAACCTAGCTTACACAGCTGCTACCGCCGAGCCTCTACACCTAGCTTAGCTTAGCTCTATGCATCCTTGCACCTCGCTCTTTGCACTTCGCTTTGAGCACTTGGCTCTATGCGCTTGGCTCTTTGCACTTGGCTCTGCGCAAGGAACTCTATGCTGTCTATGCTGGTGACTCCATGCTGGTGACTCTGCGCAAGTATCTCCATGCTGGTGACTCTGCGCAAGTATCTCCATGCTGGTAACTCTGTGCAAGCTACTCTGTGCTAGTAACTCTGCGCGAGTATCTCCATGCTGGTATCTCCATGCTGGTGACTCTGTGCAAGCTACTCTGCGCAAGTTGACCAAGAGCTCCTGATATCTCCACGCTGGTGACTCTGTGCAAGCTACTCTGCGCAAGTTGACCAAGAGCTCCGCACGGAAGAACCCTTCGCAATGCTTTCGGGAAAAAATGCACAAGTAATGCACTGGGTGATTTTCCTGGATTTACCATGTGTCCCTCAACAATCGCTAAACAATGGCATATCCAAAATGCAGACCCCATAGACGACCCATGACGACACTTTGCAGGGTTCCCCAGCCCCGTAGCTGTCCCGTTCAAACACCCCACCAAAAGTGATGTTCAAATACCTGGGGGGTGGGGGGGCGGTGTAGACCACTTCGGGCCTCCTTTTGGAGATAAAATATCCTTCTTGGAGGCCCTGCTTTTAGGGTTCCATGTTAACTTGCAAAAAATAAGATGAAGGGACCCCTTTCGGCAATGGGGTTTTTAAGGCAGGATTCGGCCACAAGTGACACATGTTTCAACTGCCGAACAACCTGTTCAAACCACCTCCCTTTAAATTCCCTTGAAAGGGAACCAGGCTCTGTCAGCTTCCCTCTACAGTAACTTGTTGAGATTGGCGGTTTGGAGCTGCTGGCTTCCCTTGGAAAACAGAGGGTCTGGTTGCTTAAACCACAGCCACCAAACTCCTTCAACCACCGACTCCCCCGGTGTAGAGAAGGGGACCATCTGGTTGTTTCTTCCTGCCCGTTTCCCCTTACAACCCTTCAAGGCAGAAATCTGGGTGTCCCTGTTGTTGGAGGGTACCCTTTTTGGTTTGAAAGGGGAAACACGGAAACCAAAAGACATGCCACGTTTCTGGGTCCACCCCACGAGCCACGGCTCGCCTCCTCCGCCGCCACGGCGGGCGCCTGGAAGGTCTCCTCCAGCGCCCGCAGCAGCAGCTTCCGCGGCGGCACCTCGAGCTTCGGTGCTTCGGCTCGGCTCGCGACCGAGCCGACGGCTCCGATTTGGGCGCTGGGATTGGGATGCAAGTGTGATACCGAGGGTTGAAACCGAAATCCACGTCCCACGAAATAAAACCAGGGTTAAAACCAAAATGCTTGTTGCGGTCTTTACAAGGGATTCGTCTCATTTCCAGAGTTTCTTAGGTGATGCAGGATCTTGTCCTGCCACCGTATGATAGTGTGGTAAGTATGGTAATATTGTGATATTCTCGTCGGATTCAATTCCTCAAGAAGGGTGCTTAAATTCTAGAAAGTGGCCAGCCAACAAAAGTTATTGGATTCCCAGGAGTGACATGTCTCAAGCTGTTGGCCGAGTTTCCACCCCCTCCAACAAAAAAAACGACACAGCCCAATGTTTACAATCATCCAGGGAGGCCTTCTGGGTGCCGAATCAAAGCCTTTCCACGGTTTGAACATCCGTGGATCCCGCTTCCAGTTGCCAGCAGTAGGTCACAGGAAACTAGCCGAGGTAAATCCCAGAGCTCCAAAACCCAGAGGGTTTTCTACCTTAGTGGCTTGCCTGGAAGCATATTGGGATTGGGCTTGAAAGTGGGAAGGTGTAGATCTGTCAAAACGCATGACACCTTGTTGTTTGATTGTCAAAACTCCAAGTTCAATATCCTCATTGGACCCCCTTTGAAAGCAGCTCTCCAATGTCCAAGCCCTCGACGTTCTCCAATGTCTCTAATTGCCCTGATCCTCACTCAGGGACTGAAGAGTGAAAGTTCCGGGCAACCATACGAAGCCATGGGTATTTCAAAACCGCGAATGATGCCTAGTCAAGCCATGAACGATTTCCGTGGGATCTTGAAAGGACGGGACGCCAACCATTGGCAGCCGAGGGCGGTTCGTTTCCGGGGAAACCCGATCGGCTCAATCCAAGCTGCCGGCTTGCCCTTGACCACGCAGTGCCACCTGAGGTACCGCAGCCAGGAGATGAAGTGCCTCTCATAGAAGACCTGTGGAAGGGGTCACTGGCTTTCCCCTTAAGCTACAATGACGTGTTGAATTCATTGAGACTGCCACTTTTCAAGGTTCCAAGTTGCAAACGGGAAAATTGAGGAACCCCTGACAAGATCAACTGAGATCTGTGATATGACCTGGTACAGAAAGCGGCAACCTAATGCCCGATTTTCCACAACAGCGAGACCTGGGCGGAAAGTCACTCGCTTTGGGACAACCCGCCTCCCGCAGGCGCAGGTCGTTGCGAATACCGTGGAAGGCTTGTGCCGCGCCCCGCAGAAGCCGCTGCGTCTGTGCAGGCTGGGGCTGCCCACTGAGCGTCTTACCCAACACGCCCAGGCCCAAGTCCTCATAGTCCTCCAATTCGGAAGGAGAGGGTTGCAAGGGCGAGTCTCTTTCCCAAATCCATGTCTGTTTGAAACCAAAGACCCTGATTCCAAAGAAAATGGATCAAGGGGTGCGAAAGATATCCAATCCACCTTTGTCTTGGTCCTTCAGGCTCTGCGTGTGCCGGCGGAAGCTGAGCATGCGATTCATGTTGGCAGCGTCAAGCGGACAGCCAGAAACAATAACTGTGCTGACCCGGCGCTCGTCCAGGATGTCGTGCAAAGGCTTCATGACCATCCGCGCCTGAGAACAAAAAACCGAGGCGTTGCCTCTTTGTGGCTTGCCCACGGACGAAAGGAGGGCAATCAACACCGAAGGTGGACAGGAGGTCAAAGCACAAACCGGGCCCTGTATCCCAGAAAGACCGACATGATTGACCACAACTGCTCCGGTTTTCCAAACCAAAAGACAAACGAAATCCAAAGACCCAATCGCCTCCTGAGGCAGCTGGGCCTCGTCAAAGAAGGGCACACACCGCTCCCGGCCCTGGCATGGGAAATTCGGGCTTCAATCAAGTGGGCCGTTCATTACTGCATCAAAAGAGGATGTCCTTAGCCACTCATAGAAAGCCTCAACCTAAAGCCCGATTTGCCACAGCGCCTGTCGTTGACACATGTTTAAACCATTGCTTCAGCCTTCCTCCTCGTGGTTGCCCTTTAAGCGAAACGGTCTGGCTGCTCTTCCCATGTTGCAACCGCCTGGCGCTGCTCGTAGATGCGCTCCCGCTCCAACGCGCGGTTCAGGAAGTCTTGCACCTCCTGCGCCGTGCTCTCCGGGGAGCACTGGTAGATGCGGGAGTCGATCGAGCGGAAGCGACGGCAGAACTCCCTGGCACGTCCCCCGAAAATGGTTAGGCTAGGATTTGTTGGTTTCCCTAAGCCCCAAAAAGGGGTTCCCGAAAGAAGGCACGCCCATTCTCAACCCCATCTCAGTGCTTCCAGTTGCCACTCTAGTACCCCTTCGGGTCTTCTACCAATAGGTGTTGTGATAATTTCCTCTGGTTACTACCTTTCCCACTCGAGAGGAGAGGCGAAGCAAAATACAATGACCCGCAACATTGGTCTCGTGGCTTCTCTAATGAGACAAACATCCGCCAACCCCAAGCAAAGCTTCTCCGCTTCTCCCTTGGTTTTGTGATACCGGATTAAGCAGAATCCCCTCAGGGAAGTACCAGGTTTGATCGGGGGGTTCCCTTTTTAGGGGCTCATCACTTTTGGAGGAACACCCCTATTTCATTCTTCCACCATGATTCCACACCGCCAAAGTCCCCCCCCAAAGTGATTGACTTTGGAGGGAACACCCCGAGCTGACTTTGACAACCCCACCAGAATCAAAGTCAAGACCCCAGTTCTATCCCATGGGGCTTTTGCCACGCTCACCGCGTTTTTGTCTTTCTACGGGGACACCAAAACACCGAAAACAACCGCAGCCACGGTTGCGGCGAGCGGGCGGGCGGGCGGGCGGGCGGGCGCCTCGGGGACTGGGGCCCCCGGAGGTTCTGCGTCATGACCTCGAAGGCCAAGGTCTTCCCGCGGCCCGGGGACCCGAAGACTCCGCTGGCCAGCTTGGTCTCCAGGGTGATGAGCATCCCGAAGAGGTTCTCCTGTCAAACATGGGGCTTCCCCCTTTGATCTCCAAAAGTGGCACTTTTACTGAAAACCACCAGTAAATTGCAACTTTGGAGGTGGAAAATGGTCGATCACCTTTTGTGGGTTAATGGAGAAGCCTCTAAGAGGACGATTTGGGCCATGCCTTTAGGTCCCGGTTCAGAGCCACGCCCTCCGGCAGTTTGAAGTTCTGCTCGGAGATGAAGTAGTCGATGACTCGGTTGACCTACGTCCGTCAGTACCAACATATCTGTATAGGCAACCAGGCAAACCACCCTTTAAACACCAAAATGAAATTCATTCTGACCAAACCGCGGACCCTTGTTCCCCCAAGCATGCAGAGAACTTCAAAAGGTGATCTTTAAAACCATGAAACATATGGGTTCGGAAATGTTCAACAACTCCTTGGTCTTCCTTTTGGATTTGGGTGAAAGCCCGCCCAGTCGAGTTCTGGCACACAAAACGGCGCCTCCTCCCGCAAGTTCAAGCTGGTGATCTCCCGCACCACGTTGGCCAAGTCCTCCTGGAGCTCCCGGCCTCGGTCTGCGAGGGAGAGGCCGAAAGCTGAACTTGAGGCAAGAAACCAAATACAAAAACGAAAACAAGAAGCCAAATAACAAAGAAACATTTGTTCTAGAAGACCTGGCTTTTAAGCTTTGATTGCAGAAATTCTTGGCGGAAGCAGCCACTACTATCACGCGGATCAAGGCTGAATTAATACGGCCACAAGAAAACCAAGACCTGCTGAACCAAAGTAGCTCAGCTACCTGTGCGCTGCAGCATGTAAACGCCATCATCTGCAAGTCTGAAGTGGTAGACAACAGCAATCGCCACAAGAATGCAGCTCATAAACTTGTCATTGGGAGTGTGACCTCCGTCGTAGTTGCTCCAGAAGTACTCGAGCACGATCAAGCAGCGATGGATATCGCGCTGGCTCACTGCACTTTCCCCAACTTTGGTGACGAACAGCTTCTGGCATTCGCAAATGAGACGAACAAATCTGCTTTGCAGCGCCGAATTCAACAATGCTGTGCTAAATTGCAGCCGCATCTTTTGCAAGATGAAGCTGTGCAATTCATGCTGCTGAAGAGGGGGGCATTTCCAACAGTAGTCCTCCATGGAGACCGGCAAAGGATGGACAAAGTATTCCTCGCGATGTGCAAGCCCTTCCCCATCCTCGGGAACCGAAATAGCAGGATTGATGCAGCCAACGAAAAAGATGTTCTCTGGCAGCAGCTCGCCATGCATGGTATGGTCCACCATGATATCTTTGAAAATGCCCAGAATGGATGATGTATTGACCTCATCGAAAAGGACAACCAGCTGCACCTTCGGCGCGCGCTTGGCCACCTCAATGATTGGACGCAGGAATGCTTCCACCTGGGTTGGTCTCAAAATAGGGCTCAAAATAGGGAAGCCCTTTTTGGATGGCTCTCAAGGAAACCCAAAGAACACCAACCACCTGAAGGGTCCCTAATTTTGAGAAACGTCCACCTCGTGCAAGCTCAGGTCTGGGTGAATCAGCAGCCGGTGGAAGAGGCTCGCGACTTGGCTCTGCATGAAGCTGCCTGAGTCCGACAAAATGATCTTCAAACGTCACCCCACAACGAAGCTGAATATAAACTTGGCAGCCAACATGGTGTTTATGTAAAACCACCAAGGAAAGCATAGGCCAGCCGCGAACTCGGAGCCGTCCGGGATCCCCCGCCATCCCTCTCCCCCGCCTTTCCGAAAAATCCGCCGAGCGGCGCAGCAGCTGCCGCGCGTTGTCCGGGGTCGGGGACGCCTCCTGTAGGCAGATCTGCAACTCATTGGAGGCCTCCAGCAGCGGGCTGTCCGCCAGCCAAAAGGACACCTGAGCGAAGGTCCCGAAACACGAAACGGAACCTTTCACTCCAAAATGCGTTTGGGAGTTACAATCTATCACTCTCCTTGTGAACATAGACACTTGTGGCTCTGCGTCATAAAGGTTCATACATTTGTACAGGTCGCTAAAGATGGCTTCTAGATGGTTTTCCAGGTTGAACATGGTCAACTACAAGGTTCTTTGATAGGCCTTACTATCATTCTATCCACCAACATGAAACTCAACAGAGGTTCCCTTTTGAAGGAAAGTTGTCTTCCAGCACCCTCTGGGAGGTTCCATCTTTGTGGATGGGAGGATGTCCTCATTAAACCAGGTAGGAACCGCACCCACGAAGACGGCCCCGAAGGGTTGCAGTTTTGGTTTCGCTCACCTCGTCCCAGAGCTGCTCCGCCATCTGCAGCGGACCGAAGGCGGCCTTAAGCGACGAACGGGTTCCCGGAAGCTCCGCCCAAACGGATCCAAAAGCGACACATAGCTTACGCGGAGATCGGACGGAAAGAGGCACCGATCGGCAACATGTAAGGATTCCACGCAAAAAGTCGCCGACGTGCAACACAGCTGCCCCCCCACACGGGTCTTTTTTGCCTAGCTGATCCGACAGGAGGGACCCTTTTTTCCGCTTCCCGATTCACCGATGTTGTTGTTTTTTCCCGGGAACCCAAAATCCGGAGTCGCGGGTTCCAAAACGGTAATATAAAGGCTTAATGAAATTGATTTGAACAAGGCGGAAATCTAAAAACCATAAGTGACCATAGACCGATTATACTGGATGGACAAACTCCCGCAGCAAAACCCTATGAATAAACCCCATCCCCACTGGTGCGAATCGGTTCTTGTCCAGCTGTATTGCCCTTTGATCAAGTCCTGTCTCACTCTGAGCACCGCGGCCAACGGCGCTGCCGGGGCAAAGGTCATGTCCTGTCCCGCGATCGAAACTCGGTTTCCCGTAAAAAATACCCTCCTCCCTTTGTTGCACGGAACCTGAAGTTCGGTGGGTCCTGGTTTGGACCATGTTCCTTCTAAAGGGACGTGTCAGGTGCCATTGTTTTGATAGGGAGGGTAATTCCGAGTGTCAAATGGCATGCATTTTCAGGCTGGTGGACCTGAACCCCCTGTAAATGATGTCCAAAGCGTCCGGGACCTGCATGGATGGGCCCGATGGGACCACATAAGCCGACGTCAAAGACTGGGTTGTTCAAAATGGAATCCCTAATCCCAATCTGCTGTGAACTTTAAGGGGGAAAATCACTAGAAAAACATGACCGAGCTGCTGCGTCTCTGTGTGTCCATGAGTCTGTGCTGCTTGAGCGGTAATGGAAAGTTTGCTTAATTCCGACCTTTTTTGAGGGCCCTTTTCAGCTCGGTTCAAAGGGAACGCCAACAGCAAACCACCATTTTGGGGTCCAAACCCCTTTGGCACATTATGCCCATTCATTGGGTACACAAACAAAGAGCCCCAATCCCCGCCTTCCGTCCCCATGTTTCCGCGCCTCAATCTCATCGTAGAGGTCCAGGATCTGGTCAACGCTCCAATCTTCCCCAAGCAGCCTGGCAAAACCATCCGCCAGACAGCGTCATGCCTAGGTGTAGGAGGGAAGAAATCCATTTCGCACCACCGTTCAGAAAGCCTGGAATGAACGATTGCCCTGCAAGTACCAACAAACAATGGTTTCTCATGGTTTCAAAGTGGTGCGGGATTTCATTCATGCTGTCCTTTCGGAGTGGAGCGCCTTTTACCACCAAACATTGACCCGTCACCCAATACTTTGCTCATGGCACATGCTTTTGAAGTTAAACTAAAGTACTAGACGAGGGTGTCCTGAATCCCTGAAGAGCGTTGCCTTTTGACCTGGGTTCCACTGGGTTACCTTGACCCTGCTTTCGCTCCATTCATTAGGCTCCCATTTCGGCCCGGATGGCCTGGCATCTAGGCCTTGGGCCACCTGTTGGTCCGCCAACTTCGGAAGCACCGCCCGGCGCAGCCAGGTCTTCACGCGCCACAGCACCCGCGGCGCCTCCGGCAGATCCGAGTCCTCAGCGACGCGCCGAAGCTCAGAGATGCGACTGTTTGTCCGCTGGAAGCTTAAGGGGTCGCAACCTCCTCGTTTGGCGTGCCTGAGCTGATGGACTTGTTCCTGGGGCCAAAACATGGCAATATGCCGAGGATCCTTCTTCAGGAAGCGGAAGTTCAGCAGGTGGGCCTCTGATGAGACGACCAGAACGACGAACGGGGCAACAGACACTGAAAGCGCCTTTTGGGTGTCCCTTGCCCCCTGAAGATGAGGTCAACTCCCTAAGATCATCACTTTGGTGGAGAAGGAGCAGTCCGCGAATATGGGTGGAAATTGCAGGTAATGGAGTTGTTGGTGATGAGGTGCTAGCGTGGTGCTGCGGTGGGCTCGAATCCCCCTGGGTCGCCCGGGCCGGTACCGCGTGCATGGGCAGTTTCGGGCGGGAATCGTAGTGCTCCGAGCGCTTTTCTACCCCCAGAAATTTTCCGGAATTTTCCGGGGGTGGCTCGCGCTCTCCCTATTCTGGCGCTCGCCCAGCGCTCGTCTAGTGCTCGTCCAGTGCTCGTCTAGTGCTCCGTCCAGCGCTCTGTCTAGCGCTCGTCTAGTGCTCGTCTAGTGCTCCGTCTAGCGCTCGTCTAGTGCTCGTCTAGTGCTCCGTCTAGCGCTCGTCTAGTGCCCGTCTACCCGTCTAGTGCTCGTCGAGTGCCCGTCTAGCATGGGTTGTGTGGGTTTCCTGCGGGTGTTAAGATGGTTTCGTGTGGGTGTTTGGGTGAGATTGGCAGGGTTATCGGGTGGGTTGTATATTGTTTCGTGTGCGTTTTGGGAGGGTTTTGTGTGGTGAGGCCCACTGCCCCAGGTGCCCATCCCAGAAGGGAACTGGTACCCTGTGGTAGTAGAGGTCGTTGTGTTGGTCCCTGGATCTATTCCGGAGAGAATCCAATATGCCACTGTGGATGATTGGAGGATGGATTGTCCCTGGTGGATTGTCTTGTGGATATTCCTGTAAGCGGCCTGCTAAGGTTCTTCTGCTTCACGCGATCATGAATGATGCAATGTTACACAAAAGGGGCCTTGAGCCAAATGTTGCAGGAGATCAAGCGTTCCGTGAACCAAACACAAAACAGACACATTTCTTTTGATCTCCAGCACTAAGTATGAAATACTATTGGCTTCATGGCCTTTGGCCGTAGCCTTGATGTATGCCGTAGCCATGCTGTATGCCGTAGCCATGTGTATTAAAAATGTCGGACTCATCCTCTTTTCTGCTCGGATGAAATGTCTTGGCTTTCGAAATGGAAAACACTATGCACTGCTTCTTTTTGAGATACCTAGATGTATCAAAGGGTGATGTACAACGCTATGTACACGCGGGACGATTGTGAAACTATTGATCTCTCACTCATTGTATAGTCTTGTAGACGGCGAGGATCAATCATCTGAATTGAGTTCGTGGTGCTGAACGTATGAATCTTCATGGTCAGTCGGATCGACGATACCATCGGCGGCTGCTGTCGGATTGACTGCCATAGTCTCCATAATCATTCCAGGTCGAGTTGCTATAGTCCTTCCACTGTTTCTGATATCCCCACTGCTTGTTGCAGTCCTTGTACTCCTGCGGGGCCCAGGCTTGTTTCTTCTTGATGTACTCCTGGTATCTCTCAGAGTTGCATTGCCTGGTTGCAGATTTGCTGCGGATGTAAACCATGAGGGGACTGTGAGAGTCGGAGCCCTGCGAGCCATTCATGAACATGTCATTGTTCACGTGCTTAAAGCGCTCTGCGGATGAGACCTGGTAATCGAATATGGCCTTGGTTGGATGGTTCCGCATGAGTTCCAGTTGCTCATCATCCATGCCATTCATCTCGTCCTTCCGGAAAGCCTGCTGGATGTTCGTTGTGCCCTATCCAAACACGAAAGTCATCATCACATCTGGGAATGTTCGATCATATCCTGATCCACACTTCATGTACAGGTGATGACGGACAATGGATTTTAGGGCGCACGAAGTCTCCATTGCATACTCCATTCTGTCCACGAGTGGCAAATCTTTCGTTTCATTCCACAGTCTCTGATATGCTCTCATGAGGATGTTCACGAGACCGTTGGCCGGATTGAAGACGCGCTGGAGTTTGCTGTAGGTGTTCGCTGATTTGTTGGCGTCTCCGGTGATCGCATCGCATCGGTACAAAGTCACGAGCGGCATGATTTCATTCTGAAGATCTTCCCTTGCTGCTCCGTGGCTAATTGAAGGATGGATGTGGAAAACTCCAATGGTAGCGAATGGGAGATCTGCCCTCGTTATGTGGCGGTCGTCATACTCGTGGAGTGACTTGTTGGATGATTTCGGGATCATGCCACGAAACTCATCACTCTGCTCGATATGGAGAACGACGATCTCCTTGTCTCGGCCATGTCCTTGGACAATGGTGCGTGTTGGCAATCTCGTTCCAATGTACTTCTTGGATTCAGTAAACATGGATGGTCCTGTGGTTGCCAAGCAATCCGAGGTCGGAATTTCGTATTCGGGATCAGTGCAACTTCCTTCGGTTCCGAAGAAACATCTGAACATTCCGAATGTGGTTCCCCAATTCTGGCTCTTGGTGGAAATGTGTCTTGCCAGAAGTTCCACTCTTGCAGAAGGTCCGCCACGGACAAAGCATGCGATCGGTCTGGATGACCATTGCTTGATCACGATGCCCTTGTACACGAGTCGGATGAACGTCTTGATGAGTTCTCTGGATTTTTCATCATTAGGACTGAAGAATGCGTCTGCTTCATTCAGGCATAAGATGTGTGCACTGTTCTGCATCATCATCTTCACGATCGGTCGATCCTTCATCGGCATGCTGTACACCTCCCTGTTGTCCAGCTTTGGATTCCTCGTGAGGTTTCCATGGTTCAGGGTAAGCATGTTGATCGCTATGGATGAGGTGAACTCATGCATCTTGAGATAGTCCACAGGAGGACGGTCGGTCGGCTGCATCAGCGATCCGAGGATATCGGCATAGGCTCGGATGATGTCCGGGTCATCATGTGACCTGAGCTTCTTCAACCCAAGCGGAAGCTTAATCGGATATCCGGATCCTGGTTGAGCTTGCTTGTGCTCGTCCATGGTGGGATTCTTCTTCTCCGAGATTGACATCGGGATCGACATGTGCCAATGAGGCTCTCTCGCACTCTGTCAAGTTGGGATGAGCTCTTCTTGGATCTTTGTTGAACTTGTTCATGAAGCGGGAGAGGTTTGCCTGGTCTCCGCGAGCTCTTCCTCTGCGTCCTTTTTGTTCAAATCTGTTTCGAGATAGATTGCCTTGAGTTCTTGGATGAACTCAACTAGGTTCTCTGAATTGTGATATTCCACGATGACTTTTGGCTTGACGGATCTTTCCCCGGAGGGTTCCATCGTCTCTTCTTCAGCTTCGTCCTGATCGGTGGAACGCCGTCTCTTCTTGGTCTCTGAGGAAGTATCTGTTTCCTTGCTGCGCTTTGTGGAATTCACATATTTGAAGAAGGCATCGGCAAATTCGCGGATCTTGGTGTCGTACATCTCGTAATCTTCATAACTGAGATGCTTCTTCATGATCCACTAGTTGCTCGCCATGAGGCTGCCATCAGGTTCAAATGCTGCAACAATGTTTCTTGTCTCGATGGTTTTGTTGAGATCTGTGATCTGTTTCGCCTTGGATGGATCCATGCGGAAGTATTTGCAAACCTGTTCGACATTCTGGACGGTCTTCTCGAGATCAATGTTGCCGTTGTGGCATACCATCGGGATGATGTCGAATCCCTAAACTTCGGATTGAGCATTGGTGTAGCAGCAGATGCTGTAGACCTTCTTGATGAAGTCCATGTATTGCTTCTCCGTATGATTTCCTTCACCTTGGAGTGTTGGCTGCCAGTAATCGTTGAATCTGGCCTTCAACCAGAATACCTTAACTCCATGTGGTCTCTCATGCTCAGGAACAAAGTGGAAATCCGGATTGACATCGAGGATGGTTGAGCATTCCTTGTAGTACTCGTACACAAAATTCAGGAATTTTGAGTTTCCGAAAGGTCCTGGGTGTACGGATTCCTTCTGGAGGCTGATGTTTGTATCCGATCCATATGTTACAAACCACCGATCATTGGATGTGAGAACAGGCCGGATCGGTGGTCGCCTTGGAAGTGCAGGCCGATCACCAGGACGGTTGTCGGATTCCGTCTCTTCATCCAAGATGTTCTTTGGTGCTGGCTTGACCTTGGAGACAAGCCTCAATGCTGGTGGCGGTGACTTTGGAACAAGTTTCGGATGCGGCATCGCCTTTGACGTAGGCCTTCCTGCGGGAGGATGCCCTTCTTCATCTGAAGCATCGTCGTCGGAATCTGGATCATAATCAACCTGCTCCATGTTGACATTCTCGGGTTGTTGAGAGGCGGATGGATTCTCATCGGCGACTTGCTCCATAAACAGTCTGATGTCTCATCTTCCTCATCACGAGCAGGGGATTCCTTCAACGGTGATGCCCGTCTCTTGATCATCGGCTTTGGCACAGGCGCCGCGGCGCTGGATCGTCCGAAGATCATATTGAGAATGGGCATGTCTTCGAAGTGATCGAGCATACAAGATTGCAAAGGTCGGATTGGCTGTAAACCGAAAGTGGCTGAGGATGCAGACACATATTCCTTGAGATTGAAAATGTGCAAAACGGAAAAACTCATGCATCAGAATTCGTGGACATGCGGATCATGCCCAGGTTCCCCAATAAGCAAACATGGATTCTGCTACACCGACTCCTGCAAAGGCAATGATGTCGGGTCCGTGCTTCGTGTTGTGTGCTAGCTACTCAACCAAAAATGCCTTGTTCTGCAACATGGTACGGAAGGGTGGATGTGCATCTACATTCAAGAGATTGCCGGTGAGGACGGCCTTGATGAGCTCGACTGCTTTAGCTGAATGCTTGGTCAGCGAATCTGCCAGACAATCTTCACTTCGTACATGTGCAAGGTCGTGCATTTGTCCACTGTTGCTTTCCTTTCTCAACATCTGGATCAAATGCATTGTTTCTTTCTGTTCCGGTTGATGTGTGGTGGATGCTGTGGTGACAAGATTGTTCGCATCAGTGCGGATGTGTACATCTGCAATTTCGCCCGTTATGTCTGACCAGAGACCGCGAAGAAATAATGCTGAACCGTAACAACGCATTAGTCCGTGC